ATCCCCAAGCCATGTGACCATTTCGACCTTATCGGAGGGACAGGAACTGGCGGGTATGCTACCCCACGTGTTTTCATCTCATATACCGCAGAGCGCTGATGATCGGATCAAATAAAGACTTATTGCGATTCTTCTTGGCCGCCTTCGTCTCGATCTCGAAACGTGCAAGAAAGTGTACATCCATGTGACAAAAAAAGTATTTGAAACGGATAAGACGATAGCAGGGCTACCGTATCGGAAGACATTGTTTAAAGCTTCAAAGCTTGAAGAGGCGATCAGGGAGGTAATGCGGGAGTATGCTGGGCGTGAAGATGAAGAGAAGGAAGGTTTCCAGAAAGGGCATCTGCATATCAATCCTGTGACGAGGTCAAATACGTCTGATTCATATAATAGCTCGCAGGGAAGCAGGAGCAGTTGGAGATCGGGGTCAGCAGCATGGGGCAATGGAAACATGAACGAACCGTTACTTGATCCGAGGCCCAAGATCTGCAGGGTGTAAGGATAATCAATCATTCGGGAGGGACTAAGATGGGCTTTTGACTGACAGAACTTTATCTCAGGTTTTTGACAGCAGTATATAAAGGCTCAGACGACACAACCTCACCTGCGCTCCTCCGGACCTACAACTCCACACATGCAACGGCACCTTCCTCCGATATAACAATATGGGAAGCCGGTCGCGCAACATGTGCGACCTATCCAGCCTTCAAGTCGATCCAGATCGGGCAAAGCATTTTCCTCGATGAAGGATCAGGGCGTTACAGTCCTGTAGCACAGGTTCTTGAAGAAGCCCTCGTCCACGAATGGCCTGGCCGAGAGGTGGGTCTTCTTGTCTCTATTGGTAGTGGGAAAGCCCCAGAAATAGAGTATAAGAAGGAAACATCCTCTATGATCGCAGCCTCGCCACTGGGAAAATTCATTGAGGCTAAGGAAAAGCACATGGCAAAGGTTCTAGACTGTGAAGAGGTTCACAAAGAGCTTTTGGATGGGTTACATAGGACAGGGGTGAAGACGGAGAATTATGTGAGGCTGAACGTTGAGAGCGGGATCACGGATTTTGGGATGAATGAGTGGAGTAGGATTGCCGATATTTCGACTAGAACAAGGGCTTATCTAGGCCGGCCGGACATTCAGGTCATAAACCAGTCTGCGGCAGCTAAGTTAGCGGAAATCGCTAGGATCTCCAGCGGGAGGAATACGGTAAGCTTGGTTGTTTTATCCCCTTTTGGAAGATGTGGAGGGAAGGCTTATTTTTTGGTGCGTTTCACAGATTGATCTTCTCAACCGAGAGCTGCCAGACTTGCCCACTAGAACTTCTGATATTCGTGAGGAGTTCGACGATGATGAAGTCAGAAAGCACTTTGAACAACTCGACCGAATCGCTGCCAGAATTAGGGTTTAATACAACGGTTTCACTTATTTCTTTCTCTCTCTATTTTTTATTCTAATTTTCAATTTTGCTTTCATGTGTTTTCGTCAAGCGGGAGTAAGGGTTAGAATTGAAAGGTTTACTTACGGTTTGTACATACATACTCTAGTCTCTGCTACCTACCAATTAATGGCGCAGTTTGCTTTGCTTTTGTTCTCCACATGGAGTTAATCAATCCCCATGATGATCACGGGCACCTTTTTTTTCTTTCTCTTTTTTTTTTTTTCCTGATGATTACTCACCGGCCCTCGTACCGAAAGCCCCGCTGCATGGGCAGGGGTTGCGGGTTTCTTGGCCTGCCTATTTCTCAATATCAAAGCAATTTTCCCTGGGTTACTCAGAAGCTGTACCAGGTCCTGTAAAATATTGCCCAGAACGAGAAATACGAGGATAATCGGTAGTGGGTAAGGCTCCCGCGTTTGGGGCTGCGGGGTGGAAATTTCACCTTCCGGTACTCTGGATCCATGGGAGGTTTCAACTTTCTAGAGTTCTGTCTCTGTCAATTGTTAATCCCGGTTAGTTGCCACTACTAGTATTTCCAACCCCAATCTGGCTAGCAATCAGTAGGACACTAATAATAATAACAGCTTTCGGACACCTTCCCGATGATCCCCGTACGTGCTATCTTACCAAAAAGCCATAAAGATATCAATGCGCATTTAGCTAGAGCACTTAAGTGACCTAACGAGTTTACAGGGCTTGCTAGCTAGTCTAGCTACATCCTTAAATCTCCTCTATAAAACTACCATAATATGGGGGGCCCATCCTCGTAATCCCCCACAATATTCCAACCTCCGTATTCCAGGCACCTAGCTATCCAGCCAGTACCTACGCAGTATCATACGTAGGAATTTGGAATACATCATGGCGTCGAGCTCAACCTCCACCGCTACCTCGACCCCGTTCGCCCTCGAACTCCTCCCGCACCCCCCAACCCCCGCAGCCAAGTCACCGCTCGCCTCAATCACCACTCGGCAGTCGACAAACCGCAGCCATGACGAGGAGAACTCACCTGTGGGCGACCAGCCGCCGGAGGGCGCAACGGTCTTTGAGAGGCCGAATGTCTCGGAGGTGAAGGGGCGGCTGATTGCGGCGAATTTTGCGGTCTTTTTAGCAGGGCTGAGTGATGCGAGTACGGGTGCGCTCATCCCGTATTTGCAGGATGCGTATGATGTGGGGTTGCTGTTTGTGGCGCTGATGTGAGTGTGATCATTGACCCCCCGTTGGAGTTGAGTACGAGGGTTTATGGATTGAAGACGCCTTGATATATACAGCAATTGCTGTTTACCAGGGTGGCTTCAATCCGGCCGTATGGATAGATTTGGATTATCATAGGTGCTAATTAGAGTTATAACAGATATCTAACCAACTTCGCTGGCTGGCTAGTAGCTGCTTTTACCAATGTGCATCTCACTGCGCGGATTGGCATGGGCGGTGCCTTTGTCTTTGGCGCATTCATGCAAATGGCCGCCTACTGCATCATGTTCTGGGTACCTATATAACCCTCCCTCCCCCCTCGCTCCTCTCCCCCGCATCCATAACTAACAAACCTCCAGAAACCCCCCTACCCCGTCTTCGTCTGCTCCTTCTTCTTCTGCGGTCTCGGCCTCGCCTACCAAGACGCGCAAGCCAACGTCTTTGTCGCAAACGTCAACAACGCCCACCGCTGGCTGGGCCTCCTGCACTCCCTCTACGGCGCCGGTGCCCTAATCTCGCCGTTGATTGCGACGCTTATCGCATCCAAGACGCCGTACTGGCACTACTTCTATGTTGTTGTGCTTGGCCTTGCGGCCTTTAACCTGGGATTGCTGAGCTGGAACTTTAGGAAGGACCTGAAGGGGACCGCGGCGGCGAGGGATAGCGCGAGTAAGGATCTGAAAAGCGCGCTGAAGGAGCGCAGTGTCATTATACTCAGTCTGTTCTTCTTCCTGTACGTTGGCGCAGAGGTCACCGCAGGCGGCTGGGTCGTCGAATTCCTGATCCGCGTCCGCGGCGGCAAAGCCAGCGAAGTCGGCTACGTCGCCTCCGGCTTCTGGGGCGGCCTGACCGTCGGCCGCCTGGTGCTCGCCGACATCACGCACCGGTTCGGCGAGCGGCGCATGGTGATGTTCTACGTGCTGCTCAGCGTGGTCGTGCAGCTCATCTTCTGGTTCGTGCCCAGCCTGGTGACGAGCGCCGTGATGATCAGTTTGCTGGGCTTCCTGCTGGGCCCGCTGTTCCCGACGGGCATCTCGGTACTGACGAAGCTGCTGCCGAGGGAGCTGCATACGGCGGCCGTCAGCTTCTCGGCGACGATGGGGCAGGCCGGGTCCGCGGCGTTTCCGTTTATGACGGGCGCGATTGCGGCGGGAAGTGGCGTGGGCGTGCTGCAGCCGGTGTTGGTGGGGTTGTTGGCGGGGATGGCGGGGCTGTGGGTGTTGCTGCCGAGGACGAGGAGGCCGACGGTGTAGGTTTTAGGGGGCTTGGGGTTATTATTTAGGTTATTTAGGATTTCATTATAAGGGTATCAAAACAGAAAAATATATATAATATCATTGACCCTGAGGTGTAGTGTGGGCTGGCGTGCTTTAAGGGTGACCTGTGTGATATGTGCAAGGGGGAGATATATCAGGAAGTGCCCTCGCTCTATCATTTTTACCCATGCTGCTCTATATACCATTCTTTGCCGGTCTTAATACCATCATGTTGCCATTTTCTGACCCCCTTGAAGTCTACTCGCTCATGGCTGTTCTAGGCAATAGATGCCAGTGATGCCACCGCCGTAGTCTGGTTCTAATAAACACTCGAGGCAGGCAGAGATGAATAAATTAAACCTAACCCTAAGCACATATTCAATTAAACCATTAAGCACTAGATACGTATAAGATTGTTTATTAATATTCACGTATACGTATGGCGATCGGTACGTATAAAAGGTGGAAATCAATTAACCATAGCCTTCCATATCTTCTCCTATGCACGCTCTATCTGATTGCTTGGTCTCGTTCCGGCCATTGAAACACAACACTCGAGCTCCGCTTCGGTACGGCATCATTTTGCGGCGCTCACGATAAGCTTGTTGGCCGTGAGCCTTGATAGAGGGGCCCACCATGTATTCCAGCTGATACGGTCTGCTGCCTATGATTTGATATACTTCGACAACGACGAGAGCAGTGACGACAGTAAATGGGATCTGTTCAGCAGCCCACGGTCCACGATACGACTACACTCGCTCTCGAGGCGAGCCAGGCATCCTTGTACATACTCGGGCAGCTCCGAATCGGAGATTTCTTTTTAGCGCATCGTTCTTTCTGGGGCTATCGACCCAATAGACTGGGTGGTGTGCCTTTACGATGCGTTTTTGCTCCAACATGTATATGTAGCTCCATCCAGATCCACACCAGGCCAGAATGATGACCATTCCCCGTCAACAATCGTGCAGGACGAGCAGGCCAATCAGAGATTACCACGGACCCCCCTCTCAACACCACGGGAAATCATCCCTTGGGGGTTTTCAGCCAATCGGCGGGCGCCTAGAAACACGGTCAAACAAATACGGCACGAGTCAGAAAACAGCACAGAGCAGAGCAGAATGGCTTCGGAGCAGATGTCGACGGGGAAGCTGTATGCGGCCCTCATATCGAGGCTGGAAAACGATAAGGCGGAGCTGGAGAGGGAGAGGAACTTTCTGAAGAAGGAGCTGGCAATCCAGACATACCGGAACCGCAAGTTGGAGAAAGAGATAGAGGAGCTGAAGAAACGAGACCGGAAACAAACTGCGTCAGCGCGGCTACCAAAACCACGAATTGCAAATGTGAGGAGGCCTGTAGAACTGGCAGACAGCGACTCGGACTGTTCAGAGAGCACCACAACTACGACCGACACCGAACTAGAACGAACACCGGCCCCCTCTCCAAAGCTGTCGCCTGAAATGAGACCAGTAACAACGCCACAGACAGTCATGCCGTTGTGGATGGCTCTTGCCGAAGAAACGATACCCGAACGAGCAGGTTCAAGCCACGAGATAACCACGCCCCAGCCTCCCCCACTGGAGGAAGATGCAGATGACAATGGGACCCCACTGGAGAAAGATGATGACAACGGGACTGACGACAATATCATCACAAACTCATCGAATCTTTGGGATGATTGGAATGAGACAGCGGCGGTTTCTAAACCCTATTATGGTATGGGGAAGTTGGTGGAGTTACCAGGAGGGATACAAACAGCCTTGACGATTGACCATTTCGGGGTCAAAGTCAGGTTGATCAGGGCAGATCCAGAACATTATGTATCTCGGCTTAGATTCATGTGGTTCAGATATAGGTGTAGGTTTGGGTGTATTTGTGGCAAGTGTAGTACAAAGACGCTCGATTACTCAGTAACTAGAAGGTTTAAGATCGTGGATGATGAGTTGCATTTAGACGAGGAAACCGAAGCGGATTGCGGTATAGTTTCAGAGTTAGCTATAGAAGCGGAGAAGGATCTTGAGGGGGAAAATAACGCTCATGTCGGGGTACATGACGAGACAGGATAAGGGTGCTGCTGGCTGCCTTGTGCATCTTAATCATGTACTCGTAGATTTTTCTTCTCTGTTGATCTTGGTTACGGGGGAGGTTTGGATATTCAATTGAGTTTGTAGAAAAGAGAATGGGGTTCCAATTCTGTTTCTCATGGATCGGTGCTGCGATAATCATCCGTGGTATTTGAGCGTACCCACGGGGGGGTTGATAGGCTGGGACTACTGCCTTGAGAGTGAACTCAACCGGGCCAAAATAAGGTGGCTGATCACAGACCAGAATTCTAGACTGGCCGTGATAAAATATTCAAATATTAGACAGCCAATGCCTTCACAACTCTAATGTCACAATAGTTGGCCGGTAGACTCTAGCAGACCCGCAGTCCAAGCGCATCAAATAACGAAACATCAAGATAAACACAACAATTTCCTGCCAAAACACAATGCCTACTCCTGCGGGACATGGAGTATATGATAATCTCATAATCTCATAATGGTAGACCGTGCACGTGTCTAGCTATCGTGCTTGGTTAGCCAGTCTTGGCGCGAGTGATATCTGGTGCCTAAAGCTCGATCCCCGTGCGTGTCGCGTAGATTAGGAGGGAAGGTACTAGGTAGTTCAGTAGAAGCCAAGAGAGGGGGGGGTAAGTAAGAAGTTTATATGTAAAGGTGGTGTGGGGTGAAGAGGAGAGTGGAAGAGGAGGGAGAAGGTGATGCTCGGTGCAGCAGGTACATGTGGATATTGAAAACACTGTGTGGGCTTGGACATGGGCGCAAAGTGGTTCTGCCTGAATCTTAGCGGTAGGGGCTTATAACCAAGGATATATTACAGTTAGCCATGAACGGCGGCTTGGTGAAATGTCCCATCGGTTTGTAGCTACTTGGGACTAGGTGCAGTGGTTAGACGGAGGAACTGAAGCTTCTGGAGTGATTTGATTGACGCCGTTGTCTTGTCTTTTATATATGCGTAGCTATAGAGCATCAAAGACCAGTGGAGGATAATACTAGAGAGAGAAACTACGAGAAAGGAGGTCGGTTCTGGAGGCTGTAACAGGGAATCAAGTCTAGAGCAAAGGGCAGAACACCCATCACGCGGTGCCTTTGCATTGGTGGGTGGAGAATAGAATCTTAACGCTGCAGTTGATTGTGGCCCTGGCCGTTAGGCCGGGAGGGCGGGGGCTTCTGCACCAGGCTTCTACTCTCGGAATGTCCCCGAGACTTGGCTTCTTCGAAAATATCAATTGATATGCACTACTCCGAGTAGCTATAAGACTGGCAATGGTATCAGACGAAGAGAGTCGTCTCTGGAGACTGTACCGGTCGGTGTATCTGCTTGGTAATTTCGAGCATGCTTTGCGGTGAATTTAGTATGCATCTAGATAGAAAATATAAAAGTAAAGGTCTTGATCAATACAATAAGAATTTAAAATGCGAGACATTGCTTACCTTAGCTAAAGCATATAAATATTTTTCAATTCTTGAAGATTCACCTGGTGGAGGTAAAGGTCAAGGAGAAGAATCCTGCAGGCTCTGGGGGGGATAGGGGTGTACAAACCAAGATTGATTGAGAAAGTCTCTCTACAGAAATTGAAAGACCGCACTCAGGTCACCACTCTAAGAAACGGTCGTGCAAGTGCCAAGCTAGTTTTGGAATTAAGGTTTAGCTAAGAACGCTACTAAGATATCGAGGTTGAATGTTGGTCATTCAACCCCCACTAGCCTCGAACTGGCAATCTGTTGACGGGCCATAACAACCCCTTCGAATTCCTCCGTTATGGTAATGCTCTAAGGACTCCGTGAGATTGTAATAAACGTTGAAGATATTATCACCTGCGCGTAAGACAATGGCATACCACGTCTAGATAAGGGTTTGCGGATAATTCAGAATCTTGGTTCTTGCTCGTGGCCCCCTATTCTTTCCTGGAAAGATTATCAACAATAATAAAGTATTTTATTGCATGTAATACTATAAGTTGAAATCTATCAAATGCGTTGAATATCAATCGAAACGTGAGAGGTTGGAGCTGCAACCGGATTATTAACTTGACTAAGTAGGTAAGGGGATCTGCAGTGTCACGCACCCTGCATGTACCCTTCCCGCCGTTGGTAGAATGTAAGGCCTCGCTGTCAGGTTAGACTCCCTTAAGCTCACACCACACACCACCCACCCACCACCCACCCATAACGACCATCACGAACTCTAATCCATCAAGAGTCTTTCTCCATCAAAATCCCAGAGAGCAATTGTTAGCTCGGGTGCAACGCAAGATGCCCAAAGTAATTGTAGTAGGCGCAGGTACGTATTCATTCCTTGAGCGATCTCACTGAGATGACAGATCTTAACATCATACCGTATAGGATGGTTTGGCTTGATCGCAGCAAAAACATATCTCCACATCCATCCCAATGATTCCCTCCTTATCCTAGAGTCTGCCTCGCAGCTGGGTGGAACATGGTCTCGTGAACGTATCTACGGCGGGATGATAACCCATAACGCTATTGGAGCCCTGGAGATCAGTGACTGTCCGCTTGAGAATGGAACACCAACCGCAGAAAGCTACATCATCGGGCGTGATGTAACTAACTATCTATATCACCTGGCTACAAAGTACTCGCTCCATGATAGGATACAGTGTGATTCACCAGTCAATTCCATCGATAGGGACCCTTTGACAAAGGAGTGGATTTTGAACATTGTCCGCGCAGATGGCAGTGAGGCTGAGCAGCGGTGCGAGAAGCTGATTATGGCGACTGGATTGACTTCAAAGCCATTTACTCCGACTGATATTCCAGTGAATAGCCCCAGAATACCATTGATTCACTGCACTGATCTTGGAAAGTCTCAAGACTTCTTAGAGAGCGCTGTAGTCAACCACGTTACTATTTATGGTGGCTCCAAGTCCGCATTCGATGCAGCATATATGTGTGCAGCTGCTGGAAAGAAGGTGGACTGGATTATACGTACAACAGGTCAAGGTGTAGCTTCAATGTTCACTGCAAAGTCCTTGGGACAACCCTCAGCTTTGCTGGCGCCGAAAAGGTTCTTCAATGCAATGAGCCCATGTGTTTACAATCGCAATACCCGGGTTTCCCGTTTCCTTCATGGGACAAGTTTTGGACGTGCAATCATCAGAACATACTGGCGCACATTCACAAAAATCTTGTATAAAAAACAGGGTCTCAACACCTCGGAGAATGGGCTTAAACTCAAACCTTCTCTTGGGGAACTCGGTCCGTTCTGGTCCGGTAGTACTCCGACAGGTGTGCTCAGCCAGGTCGATTTCTGGGATTATGTGCACCCCCAAAATGCGCCGATTACTGTTCACCGTGCTGAAATTGACTCTATCAATGGAGGGATCGTTAAGTTGAGTGATGGTGTAGAATTGAAACCAGATGCGCATGTCTGGGCGACTGGGTGGATTCGTAACTCATCACCTCTTGCGAGGAACATAACCATGGGTTTATATACTGGTGTACCTCTGCCGCTACCTCAGATTCCAGCTCCCGCCAAGGAGCATTGGGACAAACTTGAGGGATCAGCGGATAGTCTCGTCCTTTCCACCTTCCCGATCCTTGGTTCTCCCCCGCCTTACAACCGACTCCAGCGAACCCACAGTCCTTATAGACTGTATCGCCTTATTGCACCTCCAGAGATGGCATGTCGCAGTGACTATGCTTTGATCCACGTTGGTATGGTACACACCAGTGCCACAGGGATGATGGCAGAGCTACAGGCACTTTGGGGCGTTGCCTATTTGGATGGAAAGTTGGATCTCGTTGAGAAGAAGGAAGAAATGGATATGGAGTGTGCTCAAGCAAATATGTGGGCGAGGAGGAGGTACATGAACTTGGGGGAAAAGTGTGCAAACTTGACATTTGAGTTCTTGCCAGTAAGTTGTACTTTCCTCAAATTATCGAGAGAGTTTTCTAACGCGTTAAAAACAGTATTTTGATACACTCCTCGGAGACTTGGGGCTCAATTTTGAACGCAAAGGCGGCGGATGGCGAGAATGGTTCTCAACTTATACTCCTGCGGATTATAAAGGCGTTTTGGAAGAATACATGGAAAAGCATGAGGGTATGGGTGTCAAGGATAAGAGCATTTAGGAGTGTAATGGCTCGAAACAGTTTCGATGGCTTTGTTTGGTTCACGATGGATACAATTTTAATTGCCATTCTTATCATGTCTACTAGAAGTTTAGAGTAGTATATCTACATTCCTGTTCTGAGTTGAAATACAGCAAAGTTTGAAAGATTACAAAAGGTTGAGTGATTACTCATGATCCACGAGTAAGGACAAGTCATCCCTGCGTAGGTTTAAGCAAACCGTGGTTTCTTATGATACGTGTCCCGCCTTTCTCAAGGTCCTATTCTCGCACCACCACCAACACCACAACCATCAGTCCCATCATCCTTCCTTATCTACTTCAACTCACTCACCAGCCACACGATAAACCAACCCAACTGATCAACTTCTGATTACAGGGACCTTATGCCACAGCTGCCAACCATTGTTCTCCGCTCAGAGAACTTCTAGTTGCGTGGACAACTCCGTCTCTATGGTGCTCGATTATATATGGGTTCACCCACACTCCCCCCACCCCATCATCCTACCCACCCCCCGCTTCTTTCCAGGCTTTTACAACGTGCTGGATAGCTCAACATAAAAGCACCGTATCTCTAGATAGGTAGGCTTACAAATCCCCACGAGCATCTGAGGCTAGCTAAGTTGAAGCATCGAGAAACTAAAAAATAAGCGAGCCAAAGAGAGGATGGGAGGGTGTAGTCCGTCCCCCAATGACCTTGCAACAGTCGGTGCTATAGTCCTGGCCAGGCAATTGGCTTATCAATTATCACCAGGTACGCCCACCTGTTGGGATACGTGTATGCTCACCGAGATCGAGTGACCTCACATGACGCATTATTCACAAGTCATCACTCGTTGTGAGAAGATGGTTGGATTCCGGAGGGGATCACCTGGTCTTCATTGCTCAATTGATCAAACTAGCTTACTGATAATAGAATATAGATCCGCCACCCCCTGCTTACTTTGGCTCAGTCGGCGTCGGAATAGAATATCTCTAGACTGGTATCGGCGTTCAAAAGGCTTCTTCTCTCTCTCAGAGACCACGTCAGCCATACTTGAGCTACAATTGAGCATCACGATGAACCCCGCAAACATCCAAGAGTTAGAACAGGCCTAAACACTGGGAAGCCTGATTGATGATATTTAGTCCGAGGCCTATATTCTTTCTGTTACTCACCACTACTATTGACTCTTTGTGCACGCGATGCTCGACTGACCAAGCAACAACTAGACCCAGGAATGGGCTGTTAAGATGAGATTTTATACACAAATACGAGCTTTCACACACCGCGCACAGACCAGGATCCAGCTTCTCTTTTGCAATATTTGGTATTCTCCACTACAAGCACCTTCAATTAAACTCACATCTTAAAACGTCCCTCTAGCCCCCAGGAGATTTTTATGTATTTCCCCATTTCTCCATTACACCATTAACCCACGACATAAAAAAATCAACGCAAAAATTCAAGCCACTACCTTCATTATGGTCACTCCCCTCCAAGACTCGCCCTTCCTGCCTAATCGTACGATGTCGATCGCATAGCTCGCATGGGAAGCAGGCATGAACAGGCACAGAAGTTGAGACACGGCCCCAGCATGTGGACGGCGGCGGGTAGATATATGCATCAACACGAGTAGCAAAGAAAAAAAAGAAAGGAAAAACTGACAAACTCGCAGAGCCGTCTCGGAATCGGAATCGGAATCGGAACCAGAATCGTGAATATGGTACATTAACCTCATTACCGCATGATCTTCATAATCATCATCATCACTGCCATCACTCGTCATTGTATTATCCCTCCCGCCCAACCCGCATCACATCCTATGATCCGTTCCATCACACCCAATCATCCGTCCCGTCATTTCCTATCATCCGTCCATTATGGTCCATCATCCGTAATCCTACCACCCGTATCCTACCACTGCGCCCAGGCCCACGACCCCCGCAACCACCGCGCCCAGAACGCCCCCGTCCCTCCCGCCTTCGCTGGATGTGAGCGTGCCTACACACTCGGTCCGGAAAGGGCAGCAGGCAGGGCGCTGGCGCTCGTCAAAGACACAGACCTGGTCGAGGGTGCAGCAGGCGTCAGGGCGCCCGATGACGGCGCAATCGTGGTACCGCGCCGGGCACGACGCCGTCGTGTTTGTTGCGTTTCCTGCGGTGGTGGTGCTTGTGGATATTGCCGAGGTCGCGGTTCCAGTTGCGGTCCCAGTTGCGGTTCCGGTTGCGCTTGCGGTTGCGGTTGTGGCAGGAACCGTGGGCACGAAGCTTTGTGCGTTCGTGAGGGCGAGGAGTAGCAGCAGGATGGAGAGGAGAAGTGCGTTTTGAAGCATGGTGGTGATTGGCGCTGGTGAAGTGTCTTGTAGATCGTGATATCACTAGCTGGGTTGCGCGCTGGCTGGATGACAAGTGGGTAGGTGGTATGTACAATATATGTAATGTACGTATACGCAGTGGGTATTATTATGATATGATGTGATGTGCACGAGCTTTAGGGGGAGGGGGGTTGGGGTTGGGGTTATGGTTATGGTTTATGGTTATTATGAAGAAGGCTCTCGCTCATGCGCGTCAACAAACAGGCGAAGCAAGAGGTAAGATTCTGTCTTTAATCGCTGGAACGCGGAACGGTGGGCGTAGTCCTCAGGTTTCGCGCAGTAGATCTGGGAACGTTCCGGACGCAGGGATTCGTCTGGAACGGCACGTGCCAAAATGTTCCGGAACATTGCCAAGCAGGCAGCCATGCACATTAAAGCGGCGTAGCAGCGTAAGGATAAGAAGGGTGGGTTTCCCTCCCTTCTGTGAGTGAGAAGGGACGAAGTCCTTCAACCTCACGACTTGACAGACGGAGACAGCACATATTATTTGGTCGACAAGCGTACTTAAGCAACACCACGACTCTACCGGAGAGTGCTCACAAACATGTTCAGGCTCCTCAGCCGGCAAGCGTTCAAGGCTGTTCCCAGACCCAGAGTCGGTCTTCGTCTTTCCAACAGTACCGCATCACGCCATGTCCATAGCATGCAAGCCCCGTATTCTGGGCCTCCGAGTTACGATACGGTTCTCTCCTTCGCAGGTCGATCCACTGGCCTATTTCACCCGCAAGCGTCAGCAAGAGGCTAAAGAGCGCGGCGAATTTATCGACATCCATGATATCGGTGGCACAGATCCAGGAGATTTTGATGTTTTAATTTCGGACGTTGATGATGAGAAATTGCGAGGTGAAGTTACGGAGATAGTGGGGATACCGTACCATGCGGAGGCGACGAAGGAAGATGCCATTGGCAAGGTGATCAAAATCGGAGACTGCTATATATTCGGGCGGAAGTTTCGGACGATATTTCCAGCGGTTGTTGGTAATGATACTCGGGCCCATTGGGTTTTCTTCATTGTGGGCACTGGATCTCCATTGACGTACCTTTCCGCTCAAGTAAGCGCTCCTACCTGTGAAAAGGAGACCTGCTAAATAGTCTAGACGAGCGACCTCTTTGATATTTCGGAGGAAAGCGGACCGGATCTTATCAATATCGCTGGACACCAAGTCCCAGTTTATAGGTCGCCGACCCACTCACAGTTTACCGAACTTAATCTTCTCGGCATGGACTTCTTTCATTATTATAACGTTTCCCAGGCGAATGACTTCAAGAAGCGCAGAGCTAAATTGTACTTCGGTCAAAAGTGGAAGATGGTGGAAGATGATTGAGTCTGAGCTCTAGTTCTGTGGTTGACGCGAGCAGGCAAAGATTGGAGGAAGCGAGTGGAGGGGTAATTTTTTCTTCGGCGTCCGGAAATATAGTTAATTATGAATTGAATTTGTTCATTTATTTTTATTGATGTATTATTATTTACGTCCACCTTTATACTATGAATAAAGGGGGACCCCCCGAACGGAGTGAGGGAGGGGGTGTAGCCATCAACTGAGCGGTAGCGAAGGCGATAGAGCCCAGAAGCGGAGCGACGAGAATAGCGGCGCGCCGCTATGGTGAACGCAAGCGTTCCCACCTCTGCCCCCTGTGCAGTGTGCTATGCCCTTTATATCGGCACCCCTAACCCACTGCCAATAAATCCAGGGCCTGTTCTGTGCATGTGTGCTTTCTGTGCTTTTGCTCATGCAGCAGCGATTAGTGTGCGTTATCCTAGGATAAGTAGGTACTCTGCCTCTTGGCTGCCCGTCTGCTGTAGGTTGTTGTTGCATGTGTGTGTGTGTGTGTGTGAGACTCGGGGGGAAGAACAAGGCTGCGAGATTTGAGTGGTCGGCTTCTTCCATGTCTAACTCTACCCGCCCGCGCGCTGCATCTGCTGCCTGCACCTCCCCGCCTGGGATCTGTCTCTCTGTCTGTCTGTCTGTCTGTCTGTTCGTCTGTTCGTCTGTTCGTCTGTTCGTCTCTGCTGCTGCTGCTGCTGTCTGTGCCTGTCTGTGCCTGTCTGCATCTTCTCTATCTCTGCCTCTTTCTCTGATCTCTTCTCCCCTGTTCGTTGCTGCATCTCCCAGCCACTGAACACCGCTGTGACGCATCCGGGTTAGGGTTCTCTACATTACAACGCTACGTTCTTTCTTTCACTGCAATACGATCAATTACTCATACGTGGAGTGCATCGATTCTACGCATTATTCTTATTCTACAGACAAGACAAGCACCCGCACGCACGCACGCACATGTCCATACCCACCTGTCCCGGTCCCAGCCTGTGCCTGTGCCTATATATCATGCCCATCCCACCACTACCACCACCACCACCACCACCACCTCCCATACCACCACCACTCCTCCCGCCACCACCACAGTAGTGCCAATGACCACCAATAGAGAAGAAGCAGAAGGAGAAGAAGCACCCTTCTACCCCCGCCGTCTCTTCGATTACTCCCCGACCTTCACGGCACCCCTCCCCCTCACGGCCCACGACATCCACACAACACTCACCGCGCACCCGCTCTTCGCCGGCCAGAACATCCTCCACCACAACAACCACCCCGTCCACGTCGTGCGCATCGTCGGGCTGCTGGTCGCCCTCGACACGTACGATATCCGCCATGCGCTCGTGCTCGACGACGGCTCCGGCGCCACGATCGATGCCATGATCTGGCGGCAGCGGCGCGAGGGTGCTGGGGGGGTGCCGGGGATGGCGGTGGAGCTGCCGGAGGAGGCGGTGGTGGGGTGCGTGCTGGGCGTGGAGGGCGTGGTCGGCGTGTTTAGGGGCGTGAGGCAGGTAGAGGTACAGAGGTTGTGGGTACTGCGGGACACGGCGGAGGAGGTGGCGGCGTGGGCGGAGGTGCTGGAGATGCGGAGGGGGGTGTTGAGTCGGCCGTGGGTGCTGGAGGAGCGGGTGCTGGAAAGGGAGAGGAGGAAGGTGGAGAGGGAGGCGAGGGCGGTGGAGAGGGCTGTTGCGGCGGCGGCGGTGGCAGCGGAGAGGACGTTTGTGGGGAGGAGGAGGGCGCCTGGACAGACGTTTGAGGTTGTGGTGCCGCCGGTGGAGAGGACGTCTTCAGTGGCGGATGGGCAGGAGGAGACGGAGCGGGGGCAGGCGCCGAAGGTGATAAAGTATATTGGCCACCGGCGCACCTCGAAGCCGCCGGAAGCACCGGTAGAGCCCCTGAGCTCACCGGTAGAACCTGCGCTAGAAGCATCGTCAAAGTTTATTGGCCGCAGACGGCCCTCGCGACCCCCGGAGGTGCCCACTGAGCCTACGCCGGACCCAGAACCGGCACAGCCCGCACTGAGATATATTGGCCATAAACGCACCTCGAGACCTCCGGAGGTGCCGCCTATATTTGAATCCCCAGTGCCACCACCCGCTGAGGTCGTACTCGTGCAGGCGGCGCCACCGGGATTTGTCGGCCGTCGAAGGACGTCGAGACCGCCGGAGCTGCCTGTTGAGCCGGTGCCAGAACCAGCGGTGAAGTTCATCGGCCGTCGACGGCCGTCGAAGCCACCGGAGGAGCCCCAGGTTAAAGAAGAGCCTGCACCAGACGCGGCGGTGAAGTTCGTCGGCCGTCGACGGGCGTCGAAGCCACCAGAGGAGCCGGCGGTTGAGGAAGAACCTGTCGTGGTAGCAGCAGCGTCAAAGTACATCGGCCACAGACGTGCGTCGAAACCGCCTGAGGAACCTCCACAGGAACCTCCACAGCCCCCGATTAAAAAAGAACCCTTTGCAGTAGTAGTGCCGAAGTACATCGGCCACAGACGCACTGGCTCGAAGCCACCAGAACCCCCTGCAGCCGCAGCCGCAGTCGTGCAAGAACCCACAACGGTGGTAGTAGCATCAGCATATATCGGGCATAAGCATCCAAAGCCCCTCGAGCCAGCACCGGCAGAGACGAAGACAAAATACGTCGGCCACAAACGGAGCACAACCGTCGTAGTCCCAGAGCCGGCATATCGCGCGCTGAAGCGCATAAGACCACTGCCGGAAGATGACGAGGAGCCCGCGGCGGGCTCGGGGTCTAGAGGCCAGAAGCGCCAAAAGCTGCCCATGCAGCCGTTCTCGTCGTCGTCCGAGTACTGTAGCGGCGGCAGCGGCAGTCATCGACGTCCCAGCACCAAGGCAGCACCGCCGCCGCCAGAGGTATCAAGTTCCGTATTTCGCGGGAAATGTCGGACAGAGCCACAGCCACCAATACTGTCTGCGTCACAAGTGCCGCAGGAGCTACTGGACTCCATATGTCTCTCCTCCCCCGCCTCCACTCCCGCGTCGAAAGCGTCACCACCACCACCGCTTCGCCGCGGCCGCTCGTCGGGAATGCATGAAGCCGCACCGCCATCCGCTCAACCACAGCCGCAAGTAACACCGCAGCCGCAGACGCAGTATCGTGGCCGCCGGCGCCATCCCAGCGCCCGTATCTCGGAGCAGTCGACCTCGCTCACTCCCGTGGGCGCGGCGAAAAGTACGTCTGTGCGCGAACCGGCTAGGCGTGTCCGCCGCGAGAAGGAGAAGGGGAATGACATGATGACCTCGTCGATGGAGTCTATGACTAGCACGAGCACGTACCGTGGCAGCAGGCGATACGGCACCCGTGCAATGACAAGCTCGCAGGAGACGGAGCAGCGGCGGAGCCGGAAACGCAGCAGTAGGGCAGCAAGGAGCTCGCAGGAGGAGGCGGCGTATGTACCCTCCGGAAGGCGTAGGAGTGTGGAGGAGGATCAAGGGGAGAGGAGGAGGACGAGAAGTTCACAGGAGGAGGCGCCTTATGTTCCGTCCGCGAAGCGGCGGGTTGAAGAGGAGGATGTGGAGAGACGCAGGACGCGCAGCTCGCAGGAGGAGGTGGTGGAGTATGCTGGGTTCCGGGGGAAGAGACGGGCGGGGGCGCTGGTCAATATCAAGAAGCCGGCTGTGGTTGGGAGCGTTGGGTTGGTGGGTAAGCGCCGGAGCACGACGGCGGCGGAGAGTGGTGGTGGCGGCGGGAAACGACGGAAGCTTGCGCCGGAGGTGGAGGACGAGAAGGAGAGACAGAAAGAGAAAGAGAGAGTGCGGGAAGAGGAAGAAGAAGAGAGAAGGCTGTTGTTGGCCGCGATAGAGCAATCGCCATATGTTCCGACGCCGCCTCCCGGTGTGAAGCAAAAGCAGGCGAAGAAGGAGGAACCGGCGCCGACGCCGACGCCGACGATGAGGCAGAAGAGCATGTTTCTGGGGCGCCGGAGGAGCACGCTGTTTCAGCTGGAGGAGGAGATATCGGACTTTTCGGATTATGTGCCGAGTCCTGCTAATACTGCTCCTGCTGCGTCTGCGCCCGCGCCTGCTCCTACTACTGCTAATCGTGCTCCCGCGAATCCTGCTCCCGTGGTGTCGAAGTTTGTGGGCAGGCGGAGAAAGTAATTCTTGTTTGGGTACTTTGGTTGTTTGTGTTTTCCTGTGTCCTGTGTCTTGTCTTGTTTTCGTTCCGGCGTCCTGGGGTGCAAATTCTATTAATAAACAGATTTTTATAGACGGTTCTATGGGTATGCGGGGTGTTATGGAGTCTTTTTTTCTCGTTCTGGTTTGGCTTTTTGTTTTTTGTACGTTTCTTATTCTGCAGAAGTAACGTAGCGTAGCATTGCATAGTGTAGTTCCAGTATTAGTAGATAGAATAAGTATTCTTCTCTCTCCTCCTCCTTCTGTTGTTAGTGGTGGGGGTACTATATTATCATCCCATGGTAGTTAGGAGCCTATGGCCCTAGGAATATTGAAGTGGGCGGTCAACCGATGGATATATATAGCCCCCAAGGCAGCTCCTCGACGTTTCCTCATCAAGATAACAGCTATTTAGCTTTCCCTGCTCACTAACCACGGGAACATACGGATCCCGACGTCCCAACCATAGTAGAAGCACAGCAACGACTGCCGCAGGTGGTGGAATTTCAGGGACGAGTGACAGTCCATGATGGCCATCGTCACCCACCTCTTTTTCTACCAGCTTGGCCAATTGGCCAGTTCATTGTTGCATCTAAGAGGGCAGTTAATCTTGCGGCGGTGAGTGCATGTAGACAGCTGTCCCGCGCGCAAATGTAGCTGCTAAGGTGGTGGCTCGCACATCTTCTACGAAGCTTATTGAGTTGTCCCCCCGGAAAACGCACCCTGACCAGAATGTCGGCGGTGTCATGACATGTTTACTTACCTGTGTTGTGTGTGGCAGTCCGATTGTTGGCCCTCCAGTGGCATGACTCTGTCCTCGGAAGGAGTGTTGTCAATATTCTATAGTTGAGGTGGGGACTACATGTAGTTCTGTGTATGCGTGTGTGTGTGTGTGTGTGTGTGTATTGGAGGAGTACTTAGGTGGCTACAACACGTTCCAACAACATCACCCACAACCCGACACGAGCCGGCCCGGAGCTACATACGTACGTGTCTACATGTAATCCGAGACACCACGATTTTTCACCACCCTACGGAAACCGTAACCCGACATGAGATATCACTCGCTCGTGCCAAGACTAAACACTTTATTTTTTAGGTTGGGCAAGATATTGATCAAAAAGCAGAAATAAACACATCATTTTACGCCACAATACCCGCAGAAGCGCCAGTATACGCCGGCTTCTTTGCAAAGTTCTCGTCCCAGAGCAAGGCCGCACCAGATCCACTGAATGTATCCGGCACCCACGAGTACTGCATCACCAGCTTGTTAGCACATGTTCCGAATCTAGAGAAAGAGGGGGGGGAGTATACCTTATCAGACACACCCCACGTCGTGACACCGACACAGTTCGCGGTCCTCTTACACGCATACACCGCCGTCTGATAGTTGCTGCTCTGATCCGCCAACTTCGTAGCGTCGGACGGCAGCGTCATCCTGATGTCGAGTTCCGTGAGGGCGACCTCAAGCCCCGTGGCAGCCAGGCTTGCGAGCGGCTGGTGCATGTATGGGATAGCGCCGTTGTTGACGATCAGATGGGCCTGGGAGCCGATACCGTCGATGGGGACGCCGGCGGCGATGAGGCGCGTGACGAGCGCGACCATGGCGTTGACCTTGCCGCCGGCGTAGTCGAGGTTGTAGTCGTTGATGTAAAGCTTTGCGGTGGGGTCGGCGGCTTTGGCGGCGCGGAAGGCAATGTCGATGAAGGATTCGCCGAGCACGTTGTAGAAGACGGAGGTGCGGAAGGTGCCATCATCGTTGAAGACTTCGTTTACGACGTCCTGGGGGGGGGGTTAGTATTTATCTCTATTCTCTTACTGGTTTTGGTAATGATTGAGCATACCCAGTGGTGGATCTTGCCGGCATAACGCCCGGCAACGCCAGTGATGTGGTCTTGGATGACCGTGGTCAGCGTAGCGGCATCGGTGATTGCAGAAACCCATGAAGGCAGCTGGCTGTGCCAGACCAGAGTGTGACCTCTGATCAGCTTGCCGTGCGAAGTTGCCCAATCAACCAGATAATCCGCATCACTCATGGAGAAAACACCACGACTTTCTAGGAGTCAACCACGAGTCAGCTTATACTTCATTCTCCCGAGATTGTGTTGCGTGTGAAGTGGTGGAGGGGAGATATTACTCTCAGTCGCATCCCACTTCATACTGTTCTCCGGCGTGACTTGGCCATACTCCGCAATGACAATGGCTTCGTAGGAAGCGTCACTGAGGGTGTTTCTGTCTGCGCAAGTACCAAAGTACTCCCTCCCAACGGCCTTCATATTTGCGTCTAGAGTGCCGGTTGAGGTGGCCGCAGGGGTTGAGGATGTTGTTGTTGCTACAACGGTAGTTGATGCCGATGCCGATGCCGATGCTGTGCCGGGTAGACACTGGGAGTAGTAGCTGTTGGATACCACGCAGGTGGATCCCGAGACACAAGTGGTTCCTCCGGTCCAGCCAATACCACCGCCTGCCAGATATTCAAGTCAGTCTCGCATACGGAAGAAGAAATATGTAGGATTATGGCGGGAACTTACACTGAGCCCATAAGGCCTGCTGGGCAGAGACGGATTGAACAGCTACTGCAAGCAGCGCAAGAAATTCCGCACGTAGGACAACCATGGTCAAAATATCTGATTAAATTATACCGGTAGAGATGAAGGAAAAAAAGACTCGTATCTACTATATCCAAATTACTAGAGATTGGAATTCTTCCTCTTCGTTCTGGTTTCGAACCAAGTATTTATACAAAATAAAATCTCACCCCTTCCCTAATTTCAGATATGGCAATTGCGTAGGGAATAAGGGGAAAGAACTCCCGCCATTAAAATCCGGTTATTCAACCGGAAGTGGGTTGGGTCGGTTTGCCATAAATTGTGGGGGGGCCCGATCCGTGTAAGGTTAATATCGGGTTCCTAGTTGCTGCTCGGTTGTCGTTCCCGATACTCCGTTTCAACCAGGAACAGTACCTTTGCACATCCGTTAATCAAAGAGCAATAAACAATTAAAACTCTATATAGTGAAGTTAATATCTTATCATTTACTCATCATCAGTAAACTACCATGCGTACGCGGGAAGCCTAGAGAAAATATGGTGTTTTCCTTGGTATATCGCACTTTAGCCAGGGAGCAAACATAATAGGCATCTTTTCGGTTCCTGAATGTTGGACATCCTTCGGCGTAAGCAAGCGTTCACGGCGATCTCGCGATAATATCCGGGGTATTAGCTAGAGTGTGGGGTAGGTTTGTTACACGACGTTGATGTCTGCGCTACCCTCTGGATCAGATGAGATAGTATCATCCTAGAACGGGAGAGGAACAACCTTAGAACCGGGCTAGCAAAGCGATTTAGCCGGCTGGCCTGATTCTCGAAGAAGCTGTCTATGGTGGGACTGTAGCTAATTAGCCTGAGCCTTGTTTCTTTTGAAGATCAATTGGAAACTAAGACAGAGTTACACCTAGTTTCGATATGTAGTTTTGGTACCTTCGTGGATAGATGTTACTTTGCGGCCGGCAGGTGAGCTTAGTCCAGGAAAGTTAAAAACATGTGTGATATATGTACATAAGTATCCTCACAGCCGGCACTTGATGAGGGCTTCAAATACTCCACTTTAGTGGAGTATTTGAAGCCGCGGTGGGCAAAAGGTAGTGGCCCGGTAAATTAGCGGAAGGCTGTTCGATCATCTTATCTCACTCGACAGACATATCAACCAGCTTCCTCGTTGTATCCTGGCATAGGAAGAGATACCCAAACATCAGCCACAAGAAACACAAATAAAACTTAACCAATAAAGGGAAAAAGTACCTAAACCAACTAGCGGATGCCCGCCCAGCATCTATAGGACACACATACACTTAATCAAGAGATACTTTATTCGATGAGTTGGATAGTCATTTATGAAGGCGGGGGAAAGTAGAGTAACCAAAAGATGACAAACACTTATATCATGCCCGCCTTCGATTAGCAAGGTGGTCGTACATATGATGAGTGGAGATGTTTCTATGTACATACTCACGCGTTCCCCCGTTTTAGCAAACATGGAACGCCAAGGCCTCTCCAGATTGGCTGGCTTCGGTTATAATTATCACGCCGCCAAGCTGATACCTGCCGGTGGAACTTCACATACTGAGCCCGTCACAGCCTGTAAACTGGCGGGCTCAGCAACTGGCTGTCTCCAGATTTTTTGAATGACGGAGTAGAATCTATACGGCTGGCTGAGTATGAGTGCATGAAAACAAAAGTGACAAACTCCGTGGTGCATTCATTATGAACGCGTCCCGTATCTCAGGGGCGTTTTGATAGAAAAGAAAATTATCAACCTTATAAATAGATGGAGTTGGCCCGCAGGATCACACCGTATGTTCTTATTCTTGATATTTCTTAAATTCCCGAGGGTCAGCTGTAGTACCGAAAAGGAGATGCAATTTCACCCGCCTTTTTGGTACAGTAATATCGCCGGCAGCAGCAGATCGAATGTTAGGAGATTTAAGCATGATGTGTTAAGCGAAACAAATGGGAACGGGCTGCCATGCAAAATAGGTAAAATTCTCCAAGAGGAAATGCTCGCGTGTATGCATGTTCTCCACATAAAACATCTGTATTGAGTGTGGAACGTACTACTCCGGAAAATTTATCCTGAACTCCGCAAAGAATGTGGATAGCTGCTTAGGAGACCAGATTAATATCGTAGGCTGAGATTACTGAACAAAAAGGAAAATAATTCAAATTTTGAAAAAAAATTTCCTATATGCTGTGAATCGATCAGTTTATATCAAGCGATCTTCAATCGAGCGATTCTCTACCTAGAAAATCCTTGAATTCATAATTGTAACAAGCAGATAAACACCTGATATATGTGGTCTGAGATATATGAAGTACAGCCCTGCCGGTTTCTGTATTATTTGATAATCACCACTCAGAGAACTCTCTACTCACTGGCGAAGATACTAATAAGTAAAGTATAGGCCCTACCGCAAGCAAAGACACTCTCGTATTTCTCGGTAGAGTATTGGTGCATGTCGACACATACTCTGTCGATTTTGTATCCTGCAGACCGATTTTGAACACAGCCTGCAGTTACATTACCGCAAGTAAGGTCAAGTAAGTACTCTCAACAAAAGTAGAGATACATACCCTTAGTCGGTACTCTAAGGAATGTTGATTGGCACGTAGCTGGACGCCCTAATAAACTTATATCTCCGAAATTCTCGCCCTCCCTTCGGATTGACGGTTGACCTATGTAATTACCAATAGATAAACCTGAACATGCGAGGTGATTGTGTAATAAGAGGGAAATATTACTGAATATTTCTTTTGTTCTTATCGCTGGAGTAATTAAGTATTGAAGTAACGCCGTAGCCTCATATTCATCACCGGCGACTTTTATGTCTAGGAAGGACCTCAAGTTGCATTTTCGATGTAAGGTTATCAGTCTAAACTGAATTTTGTTTTTCTCTGCAACTTCTGTTGATCCCCGGTGGTGTAAGTACGTTGATCACTGATCTCTCCACTTTCAGGGATCGTGTATAAGCAAGGGTTCATCCGAAATGCTTCCACAGCGCAGGACAAGAAGCAAAGCTCAGCTGGCCAACCCGGCCAGGATTCTGTTCTCTGAGAACTTGTAGTAGTGTAATCTTCCGTGTTTTATGACCGATTATCTTTCCTAGATACTCGATATGTGTCAAGCCATTAGCTGCAGACGGTGAATGTGTATAGGCAATATGAGAAACTACAGAGATAGTAAGTTTATACACTTCTAGGTGTATACACACGGATTTAATATTACTCCATATCACAAACCAAATAGATCTTCATAGACAAGAGGACCTGATAAATTTTGCCCAAGAGGGCTTCAAGGCGCGCCTCCATACCTTGATACTATGCCACCTCCACTTCTGCCTGGGCCGAGGTTTTCTCCATCGAGCTTGAGATATTGAATGATAAGTAATATTACGCAGCTGCAGTAAGAGTAGTGATCGTGGGAAAGACTTTTGTGTTCTCGTGGCGTATAGATGTAATGGCTCGACTTCGAATCAAGGATGAGCAGCATCACAGCTTTATTGGTCAATAGTAGGGATTTCTCAGAGCTCCGAAGACACTCAGTATTATGTGCATGTAGGTACACACTCTGGAGTAGAGTAGAGTAGTGCAAGGCCTAACATGCACATATGGATTTGAAGTCCAGGTGTACATGTATTCAGCTTGTATTTAGCGCCTTCTATGTACGCACCATGTACATGTATTTAGTTCATTTATGTTCTACCTACATGTACGTACCCCGGCCCCCATAGCTTACCCGAGTGACAACGTATGAGAATGAAATATGACGACGTTACACACATCTCTAATATAGCCCTAGCCGAACTTCACAGGACATCAACAATACATTGATGCGAAATCATAGACCAAGAGCCTGATCAGGAAATCCTGATAACCTGATCAGGCTTTCCCTAGTACTCACTAGCTACATGTATGTAGGTACATCTAAGTACATCATGTAATATTCAGGCTACGTTGTGGTGTATTACATGTACATTGTAAAGATAAAACACGCTAACAAGCAACACTAGTCTGAAATATTGATGCTGTTGAACTGTACAAGTATGTGCCTGCACTACACGCCTCTGTCGTTAACTCATTGGCCAGCATATCCTGAGGATAACTTTCATACCAACACTGGAAATATCCAACTCATCAGTGCGCTTTTCGAAGCCCAGACTTTGGAGAAATATGCTGGAGGCTATGCAAAAGTTCCCGAGTGGTTAGAACGCGCTGGACTCTTTAAGGGTACAAAAACAAATGTTATCAGCTTTGAAGTAATAATTTTTATGGATCTACGTGTTCCATAAAGGTACGTGGCAGAGCATGCAATTATTCCCTTCAAGCTACAATCTATTAGTACGCAAATACTAATTACTATCACGGCAAGAAAATGAACAATTATCACGCCATTTTGGGGGTAAAAATGAAATCTTTCTTCAAGACCATGCCAAGATATATCTGTGATATAACCTATCAGTCACTATCTTGTTGTTCAGTGGGAACATGTCTCACATCATTTGGGGCAGTATCGCTAAAGACAGAGATCACACCCAGCCCTTTATCAATTAGTGATGCAAGGCACAATGTGAGGATTTCGAAAGGTCGGGATCAAATGCGTGATTATAACTAACACTAGCTTCAAAGTTTGACACAGGAGACTACTGCAAATTCGCGGCAAGGCATCAACTGTCTTACGTCATGTCTAATATTTGGGTGTTCCTGGACATGACGCATAGAATACTGTGCGTGGCTGACAATATGCGGGGGTTTATCAGTACCCACGTGGCTAGCCAGAGGTACAATATGTATGTACTCCGTGCAGAGATGAGGATCCTCTATCTTGCTTGACATCTGAAACAGATCGCTGACAGGTGAAATCTGTCATTTTCAGCCCTTTCAGAATTTTGCGTCCCGGCATCTTGGTAATATGGATGACCCGAACAATCTTTACCTCCGGGCTATGGAATGAATGAATTCAAGTAACTATTAACTTCTTTCTTGACGCTTTGGCAAAACGGAAAGACCGTGCACGCAGTTGCAGTCATCGGACATGTGCATCTGAATTCTGAAACTAACTGGAGAGCTGGGAGGTTGCGTTATGTATTATGCTGGGCACTCAATGCAGATTGCAAGCCTACATTTACGTATATACTCCTAGGGCAATATCTGATGAGCTCTCAGGAGAGGACATTGTCCAAAGAGTACCACGTGCTTGACGATAATACTCTATGCAGATGCAGACCAGGAAATCTACCGATGCATGTACCCCACCCAGTAAAGGGGCCAAACATGCATATATATAATTATCTTACTCTCTTCTATGAATGAGATAGGTACTGTGTTCCAATCCTGAGTCATGGCAACCGGGTAAGAGCGTTGCCCAAGGCTGTAGCCACCCCGCCGGCAGGATCAATAACAGCTGCAGTGGCGGCGGCGGACTAGGCGGCCGTGGTTCAGGCTGGGGCTGAGAGGCTGAGCCAACAATTCAGGCCGTTCCATGATCATGAATGACGAGGTGGTTGAAATTTCATGGCGTCCAAAAATGACCTTCAAGAATCTCTGCACATCTGTCTTGAGACTCACGTCCTTAGTGCTAGCAAGCACTCGAGCTCTTGTTCAAAAAACTTAGAACCAAAATAGGTACGAGGTTATCCTCACCCAGTCTGGCTACCTGCCTTCTTCAGTCACTGCTTATCGATAAGGGAGATCAGTGGTTACACAAAGAAATTGCAAGCTTTCGATAAGCCAATCTACTTTGAAGCACTTTCATTCTTCTGTCTTGCAGATTGGTTATCTGCCTAGCTTGAGTACCGGGAAACTAAACACTCCTGATGTGGTTGGTTGTGAGATGCCTGGTTCTGATTCATAGACATTGCTGACAGTATTTTAGCCGTTATTTTAGGTGTTCCTTACTTTCAAAGACACATCATTGCAAGGTCACAAGCGCCTTCAAGAAAGACAAGGTGTATACCTACATACTTGTTCGATTGTTGCACATTGGTATGTAGGTATCTCAACATCGCTTCTGCGGGGTGAGTCACTGCCGGTAGTACTCTAGTCCCTCTCTCTCTGAGTGCATACACACCAGTCTTTCAAAGATCTCTCGGAGCTATCGTCTAGGTGGTGACTTATACCAAGAATGCGGTTCTGAACGATATTGATGGTGCATGTACGATGACGGTGTGTGCGTCTACATGCAGTGCCCAAAATTCCAGCGCCGCTCCTACAGAAGAAGGTCATCCCAAGGCTGCCCAGATGAATGCAGCTGCAGCGGGGTCAGCATGTGAGAAAAAGGAGTGCCGAAGCAGATGGTCTTCTCGCCTCTAAGTTAATATAAAGACTCTCCTAGCCCTACTCTATTCTTCATTTTTATTCACAACCAACACGCATATCAGCATTAGACCATTGGGTATTCCTTGGCCATTGCTCAATTAAAACATGGAGAGCTTCAATGCCTCTACGTCCATGCCGGCGGCCCATGGAGCGCTTCCACTCGCATTGAACATGGTGCCCGGGTATTATTCTCTCGTCGCGCTTTTCAACTACTTTGGTCTCACGATGCCGTCCATCGTAACCTTCTTTCTGATAACAACCGCCGCCGCTGCCAGCTGGCAGTACTGGTACGACTTCCTGACAATGCTGACATTCCGCTTCTTGATGTCGACAGCGCAGATTCGGTCGCGCGACGACCTATACGAGCACTTGATGGCCTGGATCGCGGGACAAGAATTTGCAAACTCCACAAAGTACTTCGTGGCTGGTATGGCGTTTGGATCTCTACAGCAAGAGAATGAACACACAGACGAGGAAGAGTCAGGAAATGGCCTGAGCCCCTGGGAGATGTTGAGACGTGCACCCCTGCAGTTCACTCCAGCTCCAGGATTGCATCAGTTTCGTTACAAGGGGAGAATAGTGTTGTTAAGGCGCGTGCTCGAAGAAGGAAAGGATTGTTGGTGGCCACAAGAGACTATAGAACTCTCCACGTTCGGTACTTCTCCCAAGTTATTAAAGGAACTTCTTCACGAAGCTCGTCTCCGGTTTTTAGAGAAAGACCGTAGTAAGACCATCGTATACCGCCCAACAGTCGGCACTCAGCTCGGCCAACCTCCTAACTGGACTCGCTGCCTCGCCAGGCCGAGCAGACCCCTATCAACCGTTGTTCTAGACGAACACCAAAAAGAAATGTTCGTTGATGATATCAGAGATTATTTAGAGCCTGATACCAGAAGATGGTATGCCGATCGAGGAATTCCATACAGACGTGGCTATCTTCTTCATGGTCCTCCTGGCACCGGAAAGAGTTCTTTGAGCTTTGCTGTCGCCGGAAAATTTGGATTAAAGATATATGTGCTCAGCTTAGCGAGTAAATCGCTCACAGAGGAGGGTTTGGCTGGGCTTTTCGAGGGGCTTCCTAGAAAGTGTGTAGTGTTGCTGGAGGACGTGGACACTGTGGGGATCGCGCGGGTACAAAAGACAGAAGAAACCACATCTGAAGGGACCGAAACGGCATCGAAGAAGGAAGAATCAGATAACAGCAAGAAGGGGATATCCTTTTCTGGTCTCCTCAACGCCATCGACGGTGTTGCCTCTCATGAAGGTCGAATTCTCATCCTAACTACTAATCATCCAGAGAAGTTGGATCCTGCACTTATTAGACCTGGTAGGGTTGATATGAAAATACACTTCACACTTGCTGGGAAAGATGCTGTCGGCGGGCTCTTCGAGCGCATGTTTGAAGACTATTCATCGCGCTCTTGCTCTGACTCAACTTCGTCAGATTCATCCTCCTCCGATACCAAAACCCCGCCCTCTTCTGCTTCTTCTGAATGCGGCCTAGAAAAGAAAGAGACTCGAGAGGATGAAGTTGCAAAGGCTATTGCTAGGAAACAAAGATTGAAAGAAATGACGACAGAATTCGTAAAGCTGATCCCCGACCTTACATTCTCGCCGGCTGAAATCCAGGGATATTTGCTGCAACACAAAAATCGTCCAGAGCGAGCGCTGGAGAGAACAGAACTATGGGTCAAGGAGAGGCTTGAGGCTCGGGCCGCGGGCAGAATTGATTGAGTGAGGACTTTCTTTTCTTTTAGGGCCTAGGAATCAAAGTGAAGGTTCTGGGATGAGAGGTGGTTTCGGTAATTTTATGATAGATATTCAATGACGGCGTTTGTTGGGTACAGGGTTTTCCTTGTGTTTTATCTGTCAATTGATTCTTATATACCAGCATTGGTACCCACCTACATGCTTGTATCTTGTGTTCTGTTCATATGTCCTGCGTTTTTCTTCTGAGGGGTAAATAGGATGAAATTGAATGGCGAGAGATGTATCCTAACAACGCGGTGACATAGCCGCGTCGGAGGCGAATTAAAAATCATTTCCAGTAAGAACATTGTTCATCCGCCCTACTTTAATTAGGTGCAGAATTCCTTTTCGGGATGCAGTATATCACATCCAGTGCGCCACCCTGCATACTCTGACCATTGTCTGGGGTTCCCGCTCTACTTCCGCCGGAATTGTTATGTGTCGTATTGTACCTACATACCAGCCATGTATCTTAGTAATGTATTCTTGGTACATATGTACATATATAGCATGCAATATGGATTTAAACTATCTGATCACATGTATACATGTATATATACTTTAAGGTCGAAATGGGGAAGAAATAAGCGTTAGTAAAGGCTTAAATAATCGTTATATAATCGTTATTTAACCGTTATTGATGGATAACGCTTATTTCCTGTATAATTGCTTAATAAGCTCTTGGATTGGATAATTAATAGCTACAAAAACGATTATTTGATAATAATAATTATGCCCATGATAGTGGAAAAAAGAAAAGGGGGGAGTTGAACCCAGAGCCTTGCAGGTAGCATATACCTCATACTACCCACAGAGCCATGGGAGAACTGAAATTCCGGTGCTGGAACTCATATAGAGGCTAGATAGCCGATAAAATGCTAGTAAAATTCGAATTTTAAGCGTTATATAAGCCTTATTCACAAAAAAACCATGTTTGATGAATAAGAGAGATCTGGTATAAGGGCTTATACAAGTCTTATTTTAGGCAGACCCTTAGAAAAAATAGAGCTTTAAATCCAAATAATGCTAAATCTACCAAAAAACACTTATTTAAGCCTTATTTGTAGTAAATCGTTACTGGAGGCTTATTTTTTCCCCCATTTCGACGGTAATGTATATAGCGTTGAATTTACTAAGTATGTGTGCTTTTATCAAAACTGGAAATCAACTAAAATTCAAGTACGTAAACATATGTATGTATTTAGTTGTTGAGCTTGATATCTTAAGTCACTATTACAAGTAGGTATGTAGACAATTTATTCGGAATTCAGTAAGCCCATACTTGGTCAGCTTGGCTCATGAACTCGATAATATCCCATCAGCTGCAGTAGTCAGATCTTACTTACCAATAAGTGAATATAGTGTAGGATTAACACATACCTAGCTACATGGTTATATAGGCTTTATCAATTGAGACCTTCCAGCTGGTATATATATGTACCTAAGTACATGTACTTATGTATTTTGCTGCGCTTTTGCGATGCAATAATTTCTATGTGTGTACTCGCGGCAGGTAATAAGTACCCGAAAATGCACGTCCTAATCTGCAATTTCCATTGGAGTAGAAGTCAAAAATACACCAAAAGCTTGCAGCTGCATATTCGGGTACTTCATGCCTGTCGTGAGTACATATGTAGGTACAGCACCGCGGATACAGGGATCTGAAGATCATAATCATTTACACTATGCATATTTATTTCCGATTCCGATAAGTTATATAAACCAACAGCAGCCGGTCTAGTTTATCCTCGTCCATCAAGTGTTCTCGTTCCCAGAATGTGCATACTCCACGATATCCGACGCCCTGAACTTACATCACTATCTCAAAGGTGAACTGCCCCGACATTTCCAATAGACCCATGATTCGTGTGCGGTTATACTTTATACGGTTCTGCCAAATTGGTTATCCACGTCCGGCTCCGAGTTATCACGAGGATCGACGCCTTGCTCTTGTCATACAAATAATCACGCTCTCTCGCTGTCTTAGGTAAAGAGCTTCGCTTGAGATAGTAACACCGCGTCCTCCGGGTCAACGGGTTCACAGTTAACTGGTAGAGCGTCATGCCGCTTCTTCGCAATCAATGTTGATATCATTGGTAAGACCATGCAGGAAAGAGCCGACTTTCAAGGAACAAATAACTACTCGCGCGGCCGGTTTGAAGCCACCCAAAGAACTATGGCGAGTGATCTGGCAGCCAATAAGAGATCGCCTTTTTGCACTCTTTAGATCAATTGCCTTTTATATGAGCGGCTTCAATCCGGCAGCGCGAGTAGAGTTCGAGCATCAGATTATATTATGACCCAGCACCAAGGGAGAGGGTGTAGTAGATATATAATATATAACGATACAGGATTGTGAAAAAGTGCCGAACCAAATCGGCATCCTAGCCGGCCACTACACTATCCCTTGGACGGATGAAACTCTCAAATTCGCAGCCTGGACCGTGCACGCACTTAGTCAGGTAACCTTCTTGCTTTTTGTGTGCGGTCATAATAATACAGCCAATCAAAAATCAGCACGAGTTACTGGATAGGGCTAGTATTAGCTGAAAGAGGGAAGCTGCGAATTTGAGAGTTTCATCCGTCCAAGGGATAGCTAAGCTGCCTATAAGTAATACCGAAGTCTCACAGCAACCCCTCAAATTTAGTACTGGTTATAATTACTTGTATACATATCGACCTTTATATGGCCATGATCATACTAATATTTGAGCTATCATTATCACTAATACTGCTTGTATCCACTGCTTATACTACCAATCATGTATTTATTTGTATTGCCAATAAGTATTATTCGAATCTAAAATAATCTAGATACAATTAAGTACATTAATACGTATGTAGTCGAACTCGAAGCCAATCTCTATATCTAGCTTTACCCCATGGCCAGTCTCCTTGATGTCTAAAATATTGAAGACATTTAACAAGACAACTACAATACTATCTATCTTCTTAAAATCACGTACTGTATGAAGGGCAAGAGGATTGGGTTGCACTTAATTAGCTTTCATATACATAAAAACCAGCATTAATGGCCGGTTTGTAGCTGTTATAGAAGGCTTTCACTATAGACAATTGCAAGCTAATATGAGAGAAAGCTATATATCCCCGCTAGAAAGTAACTATAGAAAAGCATTTTATGTCTCCAGTACTTGACCCGGAAAAAAGTACAAACTAAACCTCTATATCTAATCAGCTACAGAGCCAAGACTTATGTAATCTCTACCCACATGTACTGGTACTGGGCAACGAATCAAATTGCAAAGCGATAGGGTACTTGGTCTATAAAGTATATCATTTAATTAGGCTAGCGCGATGCATGTGAAAAGGCTTAACTTTCTCTATCCTGCTCGACCCGGGCCCTCCGTGTCTTTCCTGCATGCTATGTAGTTCTTTATTCGAGACCCATTACCCTACAGAGCGCATCTAAACTTCCTGGTCGTCTCTTGATCATGACTCTTCCTCTGGTCACCGATCAAGTTACTCACACGACAGCCCCAGATCAACCAACCATCATAAGTTACTCCAAAAAGAACTAGTGTCATTGTAGTTGTTGAATAGCTCCGGGTACCCTAGACCATTCCTACAGGACGATCAAGCAGATCTAGCAGCGATGCTTTTTATTCAAGAGATAAGTTAATTAACTACATATTCGTTAATTAAAGATAACACACGATAACAAATGAGCCGAGGGGACTACAGCATAATACTTGCTTTCTTTATGAGCTAATCTCTTCAAGTGATATTGTAGCATCAGCTCTGGAAATAAAAACATTTAATCCGTGAAAGGACAGCAGGGCAATCACCCAAAACTCTCGACGACAGAATTTCAGCATTGGACAACCATACAAGATGCGCCATGCCATGGCTGAGAATTCGGGAAATTCGAAGGCCATCGTCTCGAGGGATATGTATGGATTCCATCTACATTATATTACGTATACCAGTGTAGCTAAGCTATTTTGGCCCTAGGCTGCCAGGATAAACCTAATCTTATGAGCTGGGTCAAGTGAAGATAAATCACTTGCTCTTACAACTTGAGTCGTCTCGCGCTAGCGATGCATTGCTTCTTGTAGTCATGATCAGTGATACAATATTATTATCGGTAAAAGACTACAATGTAATGGATTTTTCAGCGTGTATCTAGAATACCAGTACAGCCAAATAAATGCCACAGCTGGTGGGACTTTCTGGGTGCCACAGCTTTAAACTGGTGAGCGGTAGGGTTCGAAGAATGCTTTATTAAATGAACTCTAGCTAGGTACTGCGACAGGAAAACCTTCAATCAGCTGCGACCTTAGACCTTTACAATTAACCTTTGCGACCTTCGACCTTCGACCCTCGAACTTTAACCAGCTTCGACTGAGGAAGAGCTGACCTAAGTGGGGCGTATCTTGTAGGCCTTGAAGTGCACCGCCATATGGATTGGCCATGCATTGTTGATAATGTACTTCGTTGTAATCACGGTGAGGCATACAAGAAGCTTCACCCGATGTGACATTTATTTGGGTGTGGCATCGTAGATACATACAAAAAAAATCCGTGGCATTGTAGTCTTTTACCGTAATATATTATTACCGTAATAACTACACCTTCCTTCCAACTTTTCCAGGATTTCTTGACTCCCAAAACCGTATGAACGCTAATTACTCCATTATTGCGATATTTAGGATAGTCGCTAAAACGTTTACTCGAGGTCGACGAGGAGAGGCTAGTATGAGACATGTGTAAGATCTAGAGCTGCGCCCTAGATCTGTCGGTTTCTTGATGAAGGTCCACCGTAAATGAGGGCCTATCCAACATCTCCCGGCCCCTCTATGCCCAAGACACTCGAACTAGGAATTTCAATTTTATTTTTTTCTGCCAACTTAGGCTCCGTCTCTCAAGGCCTTGGACAACTGACGAACAACCTGGGAGTCGCAATACTCGAAAAACCCAGCGCCCAATATACCGAGTGATAGATTATGATCATGAGCCTTTTAATT